GATGGGTGAGACCATTGCTTAGATCGGAATCTTAAAGTCCCTCCAGGACAAATCATAGTACGTTATGCCGAGGGGGGGGGGGGGGGTTGATCTTTGGCCTAAGGGTGGTAGGGTAGGGAGCCATTGCTCACATTGGGGCTCTCAAAGCCCTCCCAGGTTAAAACATAGTGCGCTATGCCGTGGGGGGGGGGGGGGGGGTGAGCCTTGGGTGTGAGGGTGGAAGGTGGTGAGTGCCATTGCTTAAGTTGGGTCCCTTAAGTCCCCCTGGGTCTAGAACACAGTACGCTGTGCCGGTGGGGATGAGGCTTGAGCTTAAGGGTGGCTTTGAGGGTAGTTGGAATCCTTCTTGAAAGGGCATCGGTCCCATCCCTTGTGTGGGATGGGGAGCTGAATCTTGGCCTTTGGTTTGTGAAAGTTTGGATGAATTTGAAGAAAAAGGGGGGGGGGGGGGGGGGGGGGGAACACCTTGGAGAGCATTCTCTTGATGAGTTTGAGCCTTGCTTGGCCTATGCATATGTAATATTTACCTTTGTATATAGCTTTTAGCCTTGAGCATCTTTATTTGGGGGTGGTCTGTGACACTCTGTAAATCCAAAATCTAATCAAGGATTAATTAGAGAATTAATCTTAGTCTCTTGGTTAATTTATTCCTAAAAATCCTGAAATTCAATAGTCGAGGGACTATATTTTGACTAGTCACTTAAGTCAAAGGGGTTGTACCTTGTGCTTCTTGAGTTGTGCCCTTTTTCCCTTGTATTTCCAACTTTAGTAAGGGTATGGATGTCTTTCTACCTAAAGTTTGTGGTTCAAGCTAACCTAGCAACACTCCTTCATTTCATTCACTCTACAATCTAAACACAAAAATCTATAGCTTCTCTCTAAAAAGGTGTAGATTCTTCTCCAAGCTAGAATTTGGGCATCCCAAATCTTGCAAGTTGTCTCCCAAGATTCCTACTTTCTTCATCTTGAGCATAGGGGAGGGTAAGATCCTTAGTCTTTTGGTGTTTTTAACCTCCTTTTAGGTATCTTTTTCTAAAGATAGAATCTTTGTTGTCTTTTGGTTTGTGCATGAAGTTGGTGTGGAAGATGAGTTTTAGGAAATGCTTTCTAAGGGTGATAAGAGGAAGTTATTAGGCTACAAAGGTAACCCATGCTTTACAAAACCTATTTTCTTACTTACATGATGATTTTTGGCTTCTAATTCTGATTCTTGTGTTGATTTGTGAGATTTGATGCATTATCTTGTGGTGGTGCATGTTTAGAGCTTGTTCTTAGGGTTCTTGAATGTCATTGCTTGGCTATTTCTTGGGTTCAAGTTATATTGTTGTTTTGTGTGAGATTTTGAGTGTTTTGGACTTAAATTTGGACTTGTTATTGAAAATCCCCGAAGGGATTATTTTGGTGTACAGGGTGTACCCGCGAGCGGAACGGCAAGGGCTTACCCGCCGCCCCACCCGCGGGGTACATGGTGCCTCGTGGGTTGGTACCCGCGGGCGGAACCGCGGGTGGTTGTCCACCCGTGGCCCCACCCACGGGGAACACTGTTGGACGATGGTGGGGATTTCTTCCCCGTGATTCTTTTGACTCGGTATTGATGTTTTGACTTCCCGATGTTGTTTTATTGGGCCATTTGTGAGTTTTCTTGATGTTTTGTATGTCTAGAACGGTATGTTAGGAATCCATGTAGGATTTGGTGTCTTGAATCGTGCTAAGGGTCCGACTTCGTGATTCGTTGGACTATTGTGAGTCTTGAATGTTCTATGGAACTACTTTTGGTTTACCCGTTTGATAAGCATGCTAGTTTGATGTTGAAATGCTAGTATGTACGGTTTGTTCTTTCTTATTGGGATTGGCAACTTGTGTTGACCATCGTTTGGTGTTGGATTGTGATCCTTCATTGTTGAGTATGGTTTCATGTCTTTGTTGTGATCCATTGATTGATTCCTATGATATGAACGTATGTAATTGTTGTACCCTTTGATTAATACTTGATTAAGGTTATATTGGAGCCTTAGTCTTCTTGGTAATGATGATGACTTGTGTGATTATGATTGAGATTGGTGGTTTGTTACTTGAGCTTTGCTCACGAGATTGGCGGTTTTGTGATATGATATTTAATGGTACCCTCGTGTACTGAGAGTTCGGCGGTGAATAGGAGTGTAGGTGGGGGGACGACGGTCCCCAGAGGCATATGGTTGGACTCAGAAGTACAAGGGTTACTTGGAGGTAATGGTTGGAACTGAAATAAGGCCGGGGGTAGCCATAAGGTTGGAACAGGGCATAAGGTTGGAACTATGAAACTTGTAACATGTAGTTGTCACTTTGGCATGTAGTTGCCGTTGTGTGAATGTGTATTCTTTGCTAATGAGCATGTCTTGATGTATTCTACTTTGTGATCAGTAGAATGCATCTTGAGTTGTATTGTCTTTCATGATTCTTGTCTTGTTATTGTTGAAATGATGGTGATTCCTTTTCCTTTTGAGAGTGTGAATGAGTCCTTGAAGTTTACTTCTCTCTATGGTTTTTGAAATGATATATACTCTATTCCGTTCCAAAATGGTTTTGACTTATACTTATCTATATATGCTATTTAACGCGTATTGATGGGTTACCAGCAATGTTCGTTGACCGGGTGTTATCCCCATGTTTTTTCCTTATTCTACAGGTTTTGAGTAGATGCCCGAGAGCGCTAGACTTGGATCGATAGATAGCTTAGTCACCTTGTCTAGACGTTATGTTTGATGGCCTGTGAGCCTTTTGAGCAGCCTGTGTGCCTTGACTCTTTATGACTTGTTTGAACTGTTTAGTTTTCCCGCTGTGCATCTTTAGTACTTTAAGATGTGGCATAATACCACCGTTTAGACTTGCTTCCGCTTAATGTTTAATGGATGATTAGATTGCTTATCTCTTTCCTTTTAAGGTTTTAAAAATATGATAAAAATCGGGGGTGTTACATGGTCACTTTTGGACCACCCCTTTGGTCTCTTTGAGAGTTAGGCCGAATGACCCCTTCACTTAGGCCATTCGGCCAAATACTTGTAAGGCCAATACGGCCATTTTGGTTGGAGACCACTTTTGGGTCTTGTGTTGAACTTCTTTTTTTTTTTTTTTTTTTTTTTTTTTTTTTTTTTTTACTTTAATAAATTTATCCTTCTTTAAAAAAAAAGTCAATGACTTTAATGTTGTTGATGAAAAGTATGTACACCACTTTATTACTCTTATTAAATTATAAATAAATTGGTAGCTACAACAAAAAATAATACATATGCATTTAATTAGTTTAGAATTAGATGTCTATAATGTCATTATTCAAAAAAAAATTATTCATTATAAAAATTTTAAAAAGAGATATAATTTCATTAGTTATATTATATTTATTTTCTACAACCTTAAAAAAATATTTATTTTCTACAATTCAAAGATTCCTTTACCTTCAATTCAAATTCATTAATTAATTATATTCACTACATTGTCCATTGTCTTCTTTTTAAATTATCTTGTAATTAAATATCAAAGTTATAATACAAAATATGTTATATATTTATTTACTAAGTATTTTACAGATATATAATAAATATTAATATTTTGTTCAATACTTTCACATGATAATGTATGACGCACATCTCACAACACAACACATGAAACATGTAGGGAAAAACTACCACTATCAAATATCAATATGCACTTGTAAGATAAAAGTTCATAAGTACAACTGAGATTGGTAGGATATAATTCCGACCGACCGACCCTGCGTACACTCTGCTTGCCCGTTGACCCTGACCGCTCATTCGCACATCTGTTTAGCCTTCCCGACCGATCTTTGTTGCCCAACCGTCTTCCGACCGCCCCTGTTTCTCGACCGCTATAACTTAGCTTCAAGGTCAGGAAGGAGCTACGTGTCAGCTCTCAATGTGGACAGAAGGTTAGCCTCAGCTTTTGACACGTGTTTGACGCGTGTATAGCATGCTGGTTATCCGGGTGGGGGTTACTTCGCCACGGAGCCTATAAATACCAGTGACGACAATAGTGAGGGGACTTTTGAAAAGATTAAGAGGCTTTATTCTGAGCTGTCCGACCGCCTCCAGTCAGCTATTGAGTTAGTTCACTTAGCCCAGATATAGGTCCACGTGTATTAACACTATCATTTTGGCGTCGTCTGTGGGGACCGGTACAAAAAGTCGCGAACAACGTATACCAGGTTCCAATCATGTATCCTTTCATATACCAACAGGATGAAGACGCGGTTAGCTCATCTAACCAACACACCCAGCATGGTCCGACCGTAGATCTCAACCTGTCACCCAGGCGTCAGGCAACACCTGATTCGGTTAATTTCATATACCCAGCGCAGTAGGTGCCCGGGCAACCCTTTCCTTATGCGGGATTCCCGCAGGCTGCTCTTAGCGCACGTTACGGATATTGGCCAGGGACCCCAATCTACTATCAGCCGGGACCTTATCCTCCATTCGCCAACGTCTACCCACCTCCACCGTTTGGTCCGGCGTACACAGCTCCAAATCCGGCCCCGCATCACCTGACTGTACTACAGACTGAGTCGGAGCTCCCACCTGCACAGCAGGTCCGGCGCTCGACTCGTTCTCGGTTGGGGTTGCAGGGAGTGGGGGCCCGGGAGGAACCAAGGCAAGAATATGAATCCCAAACGCATGATCCCGAGCCACAAGCTCAGCGTGCAAGTGCATTCGAGAGGCTCGAACCACCAATGCACCAACGCTTGGGACCCCAAGATGCTGACCGACGATCAGTCGACTCCCTCCCCCATGAGGACAATTAGCCATGGGGACTCATCAGAGGCAGGAGAGACCTGAGCACCCCGTCATCGGAGAGCTCGGGAGAATACTCGGAATGTTGTCCAAGTTAATGCGCGGGGGTTGTTAGACCAAGTTCGGCAAGAATTCAGTCGATGGCGACGAGAACATGGATCCGGCCCATCGGAAACTGCTGCTTCCCCGTTGTTAAGAACGCCTTTCACGGCCGAAATTATGGCTCAACCGTACCCGTACGACATGCGTATACCCGACAACAAGGATTATGATGGCTGGACAGATCCTGAAGTCCATGTAAACTCTTATTATGGGAATATGTTGATGATGGGGGTCACTGATGCGGTCATGTGCCGGGCCTTTTACTTTACCTTGTCGGGACGGGCAGCTGATTGGTTCAAGTCATTAGAGCCGGGGTCAATTACTTGTTTTGCCGGTTTAGCCACTAAATTTGTTCAAAGGTTTGAAACATCAAAAACAGTCTGTAAGCATTTTATGTATCTGGAAAAGGCCAAGCAATTGGAAGGGGAGACCTTGACCAAATTTCGCATCAAGTGGAAGAATGCTATTTGCGAGGTCGAGCCAATGGATGACTTGACTGCGATCCACATGTTGTATATGTCTTTACGTGCTGGTGATCTGTATCAGGATTTCATTCTCCGACCACCCTTGACATACGAAGAAGCGCTCCGCCGCGTGACAGATTATGCAAATGCTAGGGAGGCGAACGCAGTTAAAAGATCACAGGAGGTGGGCTCGACACAGAAATCCATTGGACGGCCAGATGGCCGGTCATCTGACCAGCACGACAAAGGTCGTGTTCGTCAGGCTGACTTCACGCCTTTAAATCGCTTGGCCATGGACGCTCTGCGGTATACGCAATCGTGTATCGCTCGGCCATGTAATCTCATGCGAGATGGAAAAGACAAATCGAAGCATTGCGCCTTTCATCGTTGTCGGGGGCATGACACTGAAGATTGCACAAATTTAAAGCAGTTGTTAGAGGATTTGTTGCGGGCGGGGAAGTTAGACAAATGTGTGGGAAAGAAGCATGAAGGTAAACGGTTGTCAGGGAAGAGGGGGCCCAAGCAATCGGATTCCGATAGAAAAGACGGTGACCCTGAACCGGACGTTCGCCCTTCATCAAAGTAAACTATCCATGTGATTTTTCGGAGGTTTGGATGATGCGTTCCGAGTGTGAGAGCACTTACTGGTTGGTATTATAGACTCTCGAGAGGGTGGAAAAAGGCAGAAGACAGAACCAATCACGTTCACGCTTGAAGATCAGCCGGAAATCGGGGATACAGGAATGGAAGCTCTGGTGGTTACGATTGACATCATGGGAGTCGACGTACAGAGAGTTATGGTCGACACGGGTAGTAGCGTGAACGTTCTTTACCTTGATGTCTTTCAGAAGCTGAAGTTAGATCCCATTGAACTGACCCCCATTGCAACTCCATTATCGGGTTTTAAAGGAGATACCATCCACCCGGAGGGGAAAATTAACTTGCCGGTTGAAATAGGAATACCTCCGAGGTCAATCAAAACTCAGATGGAATTCGTGGTGGTTGATCTGCATTGTGTTCATAACGCAATCTTGGGTCGGCTGGCGATTATGAGGATTGGAGGGATCATCTCAATGCCCCATTTATGCATGAAATTCCCCACCCAAGGGGGGGTCTGAGTGCTCCGTGGTGATGTTCATTCGGCAAGAAAGTGCTCGCAGGCGGTAAACTGGCGTGATACAGGAAGTTCGAGGGTGAATACTATCGCAAAGGAGCTGGAGAGCGATCGAAAAGAGCAACTTGAGCCCTCAAAAGAAGTAGAGGAGGGGACCGACCTGATCGGAAGGTCAAGATTGGACGATCCTTCACCCCATGTAACACCCCTGAATTTTAAGATATTTAAAACTTATAAAATAAAGGCAAATCTAATATTTAAATCCCAAACAGAGCATAAACTATCCATAAGAGTCGGGGTGCTATGCCACACCAAGGTTTGAGAACCTAGATGCACAGGCTAAACTAACCAAGCATAATTATTCCATAAATCGATATTCAAATAAAATCCAAGGCACGCAGGCCATCTACTACACTAGAGCTAATTAAGCTAAGTCCCAGGTTCTGACTAGCGCGCTCCGTAGCTAATGCTCATCACCTGAAAAACATTCGGTGTAACAACCGTCAGCGAATAATGCTGGTAACCCACTCCAACGCGTTTAGTACAATATAGGTAGATATAAGAAATCATTTTGAAACTGGAATACATATATACCAACGAGACTCTAAGTTAAATCCAAGATCAAGACTCAAGGCACAACAACAGACTCGATATTAGAGAACAATCATAAAGACTAACATGCGTCCTAAGAACACGATAAAAGACATAATAGACAGATAAGCATATAAATAGAAAATATGGACAACAAGGGAATTCAAGACAGTCAATTAGTAAGTAAACATCATGGCACACAATCCATCTTCCAACCTTATACCAAGTTCCAACCTTGTAGCTCCCCTTCGTCCTTATATCAGTTCCAACCTATACCTCCAAGCCACCCTTATACCGCCTCCCCTTATTCCTCCGGGCAACTACTTGCCCCCACCGACAAACCACCTATCAACCACCAACATATCAAGATGGTGCCGCAGTGCCATTCACATGATCAGCACCTCTAGTGCCAATATCAAGGGGTCCGCGCATATAGCCCTAACATGACACCGCAGCACTTATAACATGACCCACGCTCAACGGCAAGCATGTTTAAGGTGTGTTTGTGCCTTTAGCACAGTAACCGCTAGGCCTGTACCTTTAGTACAATGATCGGGCACAAGTGGTGCCAACCGCCAACAATTCATTTCCACCAATCACAATCTCATCATCATCATCATCATCATCATCATCATCATCATTAGTCACACTGGCCATTGCGCAATGACCACGATTGTAACACCCCGTGTTACGACCCCTAAATCCAATTAATCATTTAATCATTTACCCAAAAGAAAGAATTAAATTCCAGTAATTAATTAGAAAAAAGGTCCACCATGGTCCATGGGCCCTCATCCCTAAAACCAATCCCCTAGTCCTATAAGGAATAGAATTAGCAAGCCCATAGTATTTGAACCCTAATTGGGACTCTTGGGTATATAAATAGGGGGCATAGGATGCACCTAGAACACACACCACAATAATCTCTCACCACACAAGAAGTTCCAAGAATTCCCCTAGGAGAAATCAAGAAAGAAGAATCTTAAAGAAAGACCCTTCATAGCCAAGGAAATTAATTAAGGCTAAGAGGTAACCCATGTCTTAACAAAACCTATTTTCTTTGCTATAATCACCTTCTTTGGCTTCTTCTCTATACTCGTGTCTTGATAAATCGTTTATGATATTGATGACATGTCTTGATGATTGATGAGATGAACTTATGCGTGATCTTGACGATCTTGATGATTACGTGATGTTCTTGATAAATCTTGATGTTCAAAGATGAACTATGATTTTGATGATTTAAATATGATTAGAGCCCTATGAAGAATCGTGAAATTCACATTGTGGTATTCTTGATTTATTTGGGTGGGAATTCGCATGCTCGGGTGTTAATTATGCTTAGGAGTCATGATAGGATATGTGCTATATGATTCTTGCTTTTGATCCGTTAATTGTCTACGTGGTGTCATCAATTGCGTTTAAAAGTGTCTAAGCATGGTTTCGGGTTTCACAAAGGATCCCGGGACGGGTATTTTGATAAAGAGTCAGTGGAGGGTAGGTGAGGGTAGGGGAACCCGCCACCTACCCGCTGCCCGAAAGTAACGCCGCCGGCAGCGGGCAGCCGGCGGGCAGACGACTGCCCGCCGGGCACCCGCTGCCTGGAGGTCTGTCTCCGGCGGGTGGTCCCCCACCCACCGGCTACCCGCTGGAAATTGCCCAACTTGGGACTTCGGCTTCCCTGTTTGATGTTTCCCCGACCCTCGTGGTGTCCCAACGGACTCCGTTTAACGTGCCTAAGTCTAGTTTGATGTTTCGGGTACCGTTCGTAGGATAAATGAGTCTTATATATATCGCATGCTAGTTGAATTGGTATCCCGTTGGCCTAGGTGAAAGAAGTATGAACCCCTCAGGACTATTCCTAGTTTGTGGATGACCACGCATAGGTTTCTTTATACGTTTTCTCCCCTTTCCCAATGTGTTAATAAGAGTTGCATGTGCTTGCTATGTGTTATGTGTGCATGATACCCCATTTTGGTTGCGATCAAATTGGTTATTCCTGAGCTGCGGTTCAGAAGCTGGTTGCGGTCAGAATTACACTCTCGGGCTGCGGTCCACCGTTTGGTTGCGATCAAACGTTTTACATGAGCTGCGGTTCATATTCCTAGATGCAGTCAGATGATCACTCTTGGGCTGCGGTCCGCTGTTTGGTTGCGATCAAACATTATGATGAGCTGCGGTTCATCGGTCGGTTATGATCGACCCCTTCGTGTTGCGATACGAGGCAGGGTGCTGCGAGGCCGTGTCAGAGCTATATGGGCTGACCCTCATGTATGGGCATGCGATTGGTCCTGTGGCGCCAACAAAGTGTGCTTGTGTGATGAGTTGAATGATGATATAAATAAGATGAAGTGAATCCGTGACCATAGGATATATGCTAGTTTCCTTACATGCTTGGTTACACCTGTTGAATGTGCTTATCCCATAGGATATATGCTAGTATCTTTACATGCTTGGTTATAACTGTTGAATGTGCTTGTCCCTATTTGTCGAGTCTATTCCGGTTTTGAAACTAGAGTTTCCTAGGATATATCTTCCTGCTTCAAAATGACTTTTCTTATATATATATATATATATATATATATATATATATATATATATATATATATATATATATATATATATATATATATATATATATATATATATACTTATACGGTATTTCAACGCGTTAGAGTGGGTTACCAGCATTATTCGCTGAACAGATATATTTGGCTTTCAGGCACAGACGATTAGCTCCGGAGCGCGCTAGAGGACCCAAGACTTAGATAAATAGTTTCATCTTCGGCCTGCGTGCCATAATGATGTAATGATGTTGTTAGATAGTTTAGCCTGTGCATCTGAGTTCTCTAGCTCAGATGTGGCATAACACCCCGTACTCTTATGTTTAGTACTGCTCTGTTTGGGATTTAATGAGAATTTACTTTTATTATATAAGTTTTAAAAGTCTTGAAAATCTGGGGTGTTACAGTTGGTATCAGAGCCTAAGTTTGACCCTAGGATAAGACCCTTAAGACCAAACTTTAAGTCATTAAGCTTGAACTTTAGGTATTTAAGCACATAGGACTCAGGAAACTTAAGACGCGTGGTGAGATTGTGAGTATACCCACCATCACATAACCCCATCACTCTTGTTTAAATTAAAAGACCCCCCCCCCCCTCCGCTTATCGCACCAAGGTAAGGGTACAAAACTCTTACTTGACATTACTATAAACATTGGCCCAGCAAACCAGCAGCATGGCACCAAACAGAAGACAATCAAGGACTCCGGAACCCACCACACACGATCCCCTGGCTCAAACTCTACAACAACTAACACAAGTCGCCCAGACACTAAGTGACGTAGCCCTCCGTAACAACAGACCCCCACCACCTCCATCAAACACGAACTCGGAAGTCGCACGACAAGTTTCAAATCATCGACCACCCACGTTCTCGGGAGAAGAAGATCTCGTAATCCTTGAGGATTGGATCCGGACCTTTGACAAGATTCTGGGGTTGGTAGAATGCCCAGAAGAACGCCGTGTAGAGATAGCCTCATTCTACTTCGGACACGAGGTAGATCTTTGGTGGATCCACGAGGGACCCACTTACAGACGGGAACCAGGATTCAATTGGGAAAATCTCAAAGCACGACTACGAGAACGGTTCTATCCAGCACACGTAAGAGCATCCATGTACGAAGAGTTCCTCCACCAAAAGCAGGGAACGACTACCGTCATGGAATATCATAAACGGTTCCTCGAGCTAGCACGCTTCGCACCAGAACTAGTCCCCATGGAGGCAACCAAAATAGAAAGATTTGTATCGGGTCTCAACTTCGAAGCCCGAAAAACACTAGTAGTAAGCAGGCCCCTGACCCTTAACGAGGCTTACTCCAGTGCCGCAAATCTCTATCGGATCCAATTACTACAACGTGGGGTTCAGGAACAAATTCGAAAAAGGAATACGGGAGGTGGAGCACCACCTATAAAAAGAACGAGAAACGACGCTAACACAAGGCCAAGCAATCCATCCGGCCAGAGGCCACCCCTAGGAAACAACGAAGCTAATACAAGGAGCTTCCCTTGCCCAAAATGCAACAAAGACCATAGAGGCAAAGATTGCATGGGCAACCCCTGGCGATGCTTCAATTGCGGAGGAGAAGGGCACAAGGCCTTCCAGTGCACTCAACCCCAGAAATCGCGCCCCACAACAATGGGCCAACACGGGGCCACGAACCATCAAGGGAATTACGGTGCTCCCGGAAAAGTGTTCGTCATGAGCCGCACACAGGCCGAACTCGAGAACGAGAGCAACCTCGACGAAGAAAACATGGTCCCAGGGGACGAGGGTCACGTAAACCCGCTAGAAGGAAAACAAGAAGATGAGTTCTGTTTAGGATAACTGACAACCCCTTATAACTGCCCTCG